CCTTCTGCTCAAGGAGACAGGGATGGGGAGGCCAAGCTGCAGAAGGCACAGGGAAAGGCACGCAAAGTTCAGAAAAGCCATCATGTGTTTAAGTCAAGGCCATTGGTAAGTCAAGGGCCTGGCACCCATTAAAGGAGCCTCTTCCCTTAGTGGAGTGAGGAAGAGATCAGCCCAACAGATTGTCCATGCTGAGAGAACCAGGGGATAGAGTAAGGGCTTCTGGGGTGCCATGTTCAGGTGAGGGTTCAGGTGAGGAGGAGTAAACAGGCAGAGGGGAACAAAGAGGATTGGAGAGGAGCCAGCAGCAGGGTCTGTGTGAGCAGATGCCTGAGGTGTATATACTACCTATATGCTACCCCTTCCAGGGTCTGAAGGAATGTGTAGGTATACAGTGAACATACACATGTGTGTGTGACAGTGTGTCTGTATGTGTCTGTGTGAGTATGTATGTGTATGATCCTATGTGAAAGACTGTGAGTGTAAGGGGTGGGATGATTTTGTATGAGTGTAGGAAGGGTGAGTATGTGTTTGTGTCTCTGTGAATATGTGTGTCTGTATGTCTGTGTGCATATGTATGAGCGTGTTTGTGTGTGGCTGAGTGTGTATGTGTCTGTGTGTGAGTGTGGGATGAATATATGTCTATGAGTATGTGTATGTGAGTGTGTGTGAGTATATATGAGTGTGAGTGTCTATGTGTACGTGTGTGTGACTGTGTATGTGTGTGAATATATAAGTATGAGTGAAGTGGTATATGATTGGGTCAGGCCCACCTGGAATAGTGTTCTTTTTTGCTACATCTAAAAAGGACCTGCATCTTTGCCTTAGCAGCCCATCGTGGGAGAGAAATCTTATCTACAAGTTCCAGCCACAGTGGACAAAAGAGAATTATACAACCATTGGGGATCATTTAACAATCCTACTGCACTTCTTCCCCTTACTCAAACAAAAGAAATATCTGCCAAAGGAACGACACTCTCATGGTATATGTATGTCAGGGCCTCTGGAACCAGCTTCCTTTCAGGACTTCCCAAGCCAATGGCATTTTATATCAAGACCATGTTTCTTTAGTTACTAAGCAGTCCCTAAAACATGAAGCTGGGTAACACAACCTAACCGTGGCATGCACTTTGAGTTTAGGGTAAGTGGTGATGGATGATACAACATTCCTGGCTCTCAGCTCTGTCTTCTGATTGGTGAGTGCCTGGGTCAGGGCCATCTAGATCCAAAGGCCTGGCCCATGCGGTGGAGGAGCCAGGATGGCCCCAGGTAACTGATGGATGGAGAGGGCCAGTGGGATTGATATCTTTTCCATTCAGGAGAAGGGCAGAGACTCCCAGCTACAAATATTCTGAGGCTCACATCAGTCCTGGATTGGCTACCCTTCCCTACCCCACCTCCCAGCTTTCTTCAAGGCAGGGACGAGGGGTATCCTTAACACCCACTACCGTGACCACCACATTGACAAATGGAAGAGACTTCATTTTTAGCTTCCGCATGGGGAAAGAAAGAAAATCACCAATGTTAAAATTTCTTAATGAGGCAGAGCTACATTTAACTTCTATTCCCAGTCATTTCCAGTGACAGGACTGATTAGTATTCATGGAAATAAATGACATCCTTCCTGCAAGAACTTGCACTCCCTTCAGAGGGCAAGATGGGTCCCCCATTAGAGAATGTGAGAGCCATAGCAGAGCCTCAGGCCAAGGCAGCTGAGCAGACTACATGCTACTGACTATGGGAGTCCCTGGAATGAGGACCCTGCTGTTCCAGAGGGGCCTATAGGCTTACAGGAGCTGAAAGTCCACCCGCATCAGCCTGGAACCCCAGTGTAGGTGGATCTGGTTTCTGTACATGGCACCCTCACTCTCTGCCTCTTGCTCTAAGCAAATACATCTTCTGCCTGGGAGTCCATTGAGGCTGTGCAGCAATGCAGTTTTGAAATGGCCAATTTCATGAAAAAGGACCCTCAGCTAGACACAAACACAGCTGTCCCAGCTGGTGGCTGACAGCAGACAAGCATTGTTCACTATTGCAAAAATAGAGGGGGAAAGGTTGGTGCAAGCAGGCAGCCCAGAGCATGAGTTCCCAGGCTCAGTGTCCCTGAGAGCCTCAGAACATACCTGACCCCAGAAAGCTGTGTCCACTCCTAGGTCAGGACTACCCCAATGGCTACGGACAACCTAGCACCCAGGAAACCCACTATCCTTGTTTGCCCATCAAGAAGAGGTTCCCAGGGCACAGGAAGCTTGAGAGGTTCCTGGGGAGGAGTTGGTCACCATCTTAACATCTGTTTACCCCTCAGCCAATAAATTAACTTCCAACTTGATCCAAGCCAGGCACAGTGGCTCACACCTGTAATCCTAGCTACCACTCAGGAGGCTAAGATAGGGAAAACCTCAATTCCAATAATAAAAAAATAAAATGGGAACTTTTTGCTGATGATGCCATTGAGGAACAATTAGACAGTATATAATAAATCTAAGATGCACATAGAGTAGACCTTTGGCATCTAAGAAAATATGATTCCAAAAAAAATGAAAAATGAGCATGCTCAGGATACAGAAATACATACTCCAAAATTACTTGACTTACCTATACCTATATTCTAAAATTATTCAACTTACTTATACTGTACATACAGTAGGGCTGAGCATCCATAACTTGAAACTACATGGATAGACTTTATTACTGATACAAAATTTACTGTTGTACATATTAGTAGTGTTCACCAAAAACTAAATCTCATTTCATGCTCTTTTTCTTGATATAGTAGATGTTTTGATTCATTTTTCCTGAAAAATCACCTAACTCCTAAAGAAATGTTGCCTTTCAATAAATCTTTAATTTTTTAGTTAATCTCTTCAATTACACACATTCACTTTCACCATGCTTTTAGGACATCATTTGCTTTTGTAGAGACGTGATATAGTTTCACAAAATTATACATGGGGAAACTCAGCAGATCCCACACGGCTAACACAGGACTGATTGAGAGCTAAATTTAACATACCCACTAAGTCATAGCTCAGTGCAGGAATTCAAAATTGTTGTTCTTGAAATATCTTTGGATGTTTTATGTAGTATAAGAACTGCATAATTTTTACCCACTTCTTGCAAGAATTTAGTCTGATTAAGTATTTAGAAAATGCTACAACACCATTATAACATTATGGGTATATTATGATAGCCATGAAAAAGCAGAGTTGCACTCTATAAGAATAGACAAATAGATATTTTGACACAACTCCAATACCATACTCTACAATAAAACATGATGACATGGATTTAATATTAACCCTAATTGTAGCTATACATATTGAGGCTGTACATATTTTGACTTTTCTATAATGGCCATGGGTTATGCATAGGATGAGTTAGTAGAGTTGTTACAAGGACTGAGTTAGACTTTTGGGACTCAAAAATCTAGTTTCACCACCTACAAACCGTATGACTGGGGAAGCGATAGGAATTCTCTGCTTTTCAGTTTCCTCTTCTGGGAATGGAATGGTCCCATATCTGCTCTGAAAATCTTTCATGATAAAATGCAATGATCAGCACAGTGCCTGGCATACAAAAGGGCTTGACTATTGTTTAGTTTTGTATTTAGAACTCAAAGTTGGCAGCCAATTATCTTGTCCTCTTCATATACCTCTAATCATAATTGGAAGAAAAGTTCATTGTTCATGCTTGTGTGTGTGTGTATATATATATATATATATATATATTAAAAAGAAAAAATAGAATCAATGATTTGTCCAGCCACTTATCCATTGAAGCTACTAGCCATACCAGTTGCTGGCTGAGGTCCATCCAGCCTCTAAATGAGACAAGGTGGACAGAGTCAGACCCTACAACTGGCCCCACACCTGAGCTGAACCTAGGCCTGGCATCTAGGTCTCTGACCAAGCTCACTCCTGACTCCAGGATCCGCCTCCATAGGTAACACTCCACTAGCCTACCCGGCTCAGGACTTCATGCTCACAATACATCCTGTATCCTGCCCCACTCACCTTCTCCTCTCACTCCTCCAGTGCTCAGCCACCCTCAGAGCCATCTCATCTGAGGACTTCCCATAGGAAGTAGCACATTACCTATGAGCACCTGCCTTGTGCTGACTCGGGACTGATTTCCTCAGACAACTACCCCAGTCTAGTTCTCATTCTCTCAAGAAACATGTGAGGTAAATAAGGTATTTAAATGGGGGAAAAAAACCCTGAGCTCCACATCAACCCCAAATCCAGTTTCTTAGGAGGTGCCCAACACAGTAATACAAATAAAATGGCATGCCCTGATGTAAAATGCTAAAGTACCTTTCCTGCTCACTAGCCAATCAGCATGAATCTTAACAAATAATTGCTTTTCATCAGCAGCAAGACCTCTCAGAGCCAGCAAAAGTTGATATCCATTCCCTCATTAACACTTGGAATTCTTCAAGTCTCTCTACCAATAATAGTGTCTGAAATTTCCTTGTATCCCCATCCTGGCCAGCATTTGTCTTTATTGTTATTTTGGTTTGGGTGTGGGTTTTTTGGTGACAATCTTTCTAACTGATTGAGATGGTATATGTGGCACAATTTTATTTAAAAATTATTCTTTAAAAGTCTATAAAAATACTGATGATATGTTAATGGTGTTTTGAATGTAACTGAAAACTTTCTTGGGGTCTTTGGGCAAGAATCAGAGGAAATCACTGACAACTAACAGTCAATTTTTCTATTAAGTAAACCTGAGAAACTGAAGAAAGAGTATGAAGAGGAGATAAGCAAGGTGGAGGCAGAATGACCATCCACTGAGGGAGAAAAAAAAATAAAGCTAGTGAAGAGTACATACAGAGATTGTTGGCAGAGGAAGAAGAGGAAGAAAAAAAAGGCAGGCAGAAAAAAAGACAAAAGCAAGATGGAAGAGCAAATAAAAAGTGATAAAAAGCTGGCAAGAAGACTAAGTATCAATATTAACAATTTTGATGAGGCTTCTCCCCTGAATTCCAGAAAATCTGATACATTTACAGCCAAGTCACCAAAGAAAGATAAGAACAAACAAAGAAATACTGGAGATATTCAGAAGTATTTGTCACCTAAGTCTCAATTTCATTCAACATCACAGCCTTAAGTTGTACAAGAAGACAGGAAAAACTCCATATCTAAGGAAGTTAACAATAGTGATGCCAAAAGTCCTACGTGGCCAGATACCAGAACCAAAGAAGATATGCCAACATGTTCTCCACAGATATGCCTTGAAACTCAGGAACAAGGTGCAGCGTCCTCAATAGAGTCACCTTTGCTACAGTTACATGCCTGTGAAGGAAGAGCCCTAACAAGATCACATGATGACAAAAAGATTGTGTCAGAGTCATTAGGAGCCTAACACTGATTCTAAAGAAGCTACATTTACACCTTGTGGCATCACAGAGAATGGGTGTACTATGTCAGGTAGGACGCAGAAGATTGGAAACAGCACAGATTCAGCAGAAAATAAAGAGCCCCACCTGTTGACTAGTAATGATATTTCCAAAAGGAAAAATGAATTCTCATTTGAAGCAGTCAAGAATCTACGCTTTTCTTCAAAAAGAAGAAAAATGTTCCCCAAATCTTCTTCAGATCAAAAAGAAACAGGAAAATTTTTTACCCAAAAACTGATAAATATAGAGTGTATACTTTTTGAGATTCATAAAAGAGAAGAGCAGTACAGTTATGTTATTAGCATTTCAACTTCAGAAGGATGTAGATAAAGAACAAATGATGCCAAACAAGCAAAAAGGATCCCCCAGATGGGTATCCACTATTGCTATATCCTCACCTCCAGAAAACTAGCTCGATGGACAAAGGAGAAATTCCAAAGACAGGAACTTCAAAAAACAAATTGATACAGTGCTCAAAATGGGGGAGAAGCTCAAGAGATGGAAATCAGAAGCCTTCTTCTAGAATACAGCTGAAATATTCAGCTAATGGAAAAAAAAGATGCCAAAGTCTACCAGAGATAACTGTAATTTAAATAAAAGTGCTCATTCTGGGCTGGGAAAGTGGCTCAGTGGAAGAGTGCTTGCCTAGCATGTATGAAGCTGTGGTTTCGATTCCTCAACACCACATAAACAGAAAAGTCCAGAAGTGACATTGTAGCTCAAGTGATAGAGTGCTAGCCTTGAGCAAAAGAAGCTCAGGGACAGTGTCAAGCCCTGAGTTCAAGCCCCAGGACTGGCAAAAAATAAAAAATAAAAATGTGCTCATTCCCTTCAGCTTATTAATTCACAGAAAAGTATTTTTCAAATGTTTCAGAGATAAAAGCAGTAATGCAGGGGTAAAAGGGAATATTTCATAACCTAACAGAGCTGTGCTGTAAAGCTCTTTTTTATTAAAGAATCTCACAAGTTTATTGTAAATTCCTGCTCTGTAGTCATAGTTGTTATCATTAAATATTGTCATTACAAGGGAAGAATATATAAATATGTCTCTGTAAAACTCAGTAGTTAACAGGTGCCCTTATCTTTTCCATTGTTAGTAACTGTGTCATATACTGAATTTGCCTTCCTCATGGATATAAAAATGCCTTAGTCAAAGTCCAAGAAGTCTTGAAGAGCTGTTCTCTTTCCAGGATTTCATGTTTGAAATGGCAGCTTCTCACCTTTTGTCAGGAACAGTGATCAAAGCAAGATTACACTATACCAAGTGGTTACAAAAAAAAATCTAGGTAGAGTTTAAAAGCCCAAGGAATACTTGAAATGTACAACACTAATTTTCCATCTCAATTTAAATTTTAAGCATTATATTGTTTGTTTCCTTTGGTTTAAAATGGCTTAGGATCTATGTTAAATCAGTTTTCTGGAAAACTGGAATTCAGTTACAGAAAAGAAACTAAATTATTTATAGAAAGGAGAGTTTGAGTTGGGTTGGGGCTGGGTGGGGTGCCTTGGCAGTCAGGAACCAAACCAGGGAATTAGGGAATAGGTCTAGAATGAACATCAAGTTCCTTTTTATTTTTTTTAATTTAATTACATTAGTGTTGTTTTAGAGGTGACATACAGTGGGATTACCTTTACATATGTAAGGTAGTAAGTACATTTCCTTCCTTTTGTCCTTAGCTGTGCAGAAACTTTTTATTTTAACGTAGTTCCATTTGTCAAGTTTCTCTCCTATTTCTTGTGCCCCTGGGTCTCTATTCAGGAAGTTCAGCAGGTTCCTTTTGTCAGAACATTTTTCCTTGCACTTTCTTTGCTAAATCACATAGAAAACATCTTTGGTTTTACAGCTTTTTGACACCATAGTATCTAATACAAAAAGCTACTTATCTGAATTTTGGGGAATTTGTGTTTCTACTAAACTGCTATTGCTATTCCAGAAAAAAAAAAAAAGACGGAATTAACTGTAAGAAAATTTTACGGTAGTATGTTGTAAAAGCTGGAACAAGCATGTGTTTATGGACAGAAACAGGAAGTATGCTATATGGGGTTTGTTCGGTCTTGTCCCTGGAAGTTAAATCACAAAGCACTGATTTTATTTAGTGATGTTTAACTTAGAGACTTTATAAGAACAACTTTCAGCAAACAATAGTTTTAATAACATTTTTGCTGTTGTGTTAGTAATCCACTTAATGTCAATAAACAATAAGCTCTTCCAGCATGAATTCTAGCTTTAAGTAGCTGGTATTTTCCTGTGTCATCAAACTTTTTTTCCTTCCAAATTTGTGGTTAAAATTCTCTCATTCTTTGCATACTTTATAGTATCTATGGGACTATTGATTGGGTAAAGATGGGTAAACTTCCAATTCAAAATTCAGTATTCCCTTTTTTAAAAAAAGGCCCTCTGTATAATAATTGTGATGAAATATAGTCAGAAACAAAATTTGTCTAAAACAGACTAAAATCAGTCTGATCGAATCATATGTAATTAATATTCAATATGCAATTGAGTATGCAATTTCACTTAATGTTTTAGGGTAGACATTATCAGAATGCTTTGAATTGACAGTTGTCTAACTCCTGAAATATACACAATAGCCCATAATGTGACATATTTAAGATAAATTATTTAACTACTAATATGTCTATAAAGAAGTCTTCCTGATTAAAGTTGGTTTAAGAGAAGTTTTCATTTCTTTATTAGCCTTTCTGTCATTCATAGAAATAGAAACTAATAACATTTTTGTGTCAGGAGATTGTACTGCTTTTTTCTTTCATTTTTGTGGAAGATATGCTAGAATGTTTAATTTCTCAGTGAGAAATTAAGCTTTAGCTGCACAGATAAGAATAATCTGAAAAACTAAAGGAATTATTAAAGATAAATACTTGCTTTCACATGGTTCTATAGTATTTAAGGTTCAATTTACATAGAAAAAAGAAGTCAAATCTTATGTTTTAATATAGTTTATAGCTATATTAGCCCTTCTCATAGTAAGCTACACAGCAGTCCCTTGGTAACCACATGTGTGGATCCAAGAAGACTCTGGCATGAGCAAACACCATGACCTCTCCAGATGCCAAGAACTCATTCGATATACCATGGATGCTTGATTCATTTTTCTCATAGCTTCCACCCAACTTCCACTAAACACTTGCTGCCTTTCAATAAATCTCAATTTTTCACTTTCTTGCTTAAAATAAGCGCATACACTTTTACCTGCCTTTTGAGGGCCCATTTGCTTTGGGGAGGAAGATTATCACAAATTGAAAGGCAGGGTAACTCAGCAGATTACTCAATGATGTAAACATAGCTAACAACCCAGGATCCTGTAAGCCTTCTCTGCATCTATTGAACTATGGAATAGGTTTGTGGGAAATTTTTTGGTTTAAAGCTTTTCTTTGATTTTATTTATTTAGTTAAGGTTCATTTTTACTGTAATCACCCACATGTAATAAATCCACAAATAAGGTAGAGAACACTTCCAGCACTTCAGTGAGCTCCCTTAAATACTTCCCAGTTAGCATCCCTAGGACCCCGATCAAAGGAATGTGCTGTGGGTTGAATTGTTCCTCTACCCAAAGATCATATGTTGATGCCCTAACTCCAAGTAATAGCTGTATCTGAGAAAGAGCCCTAACTAGTAATTAATGTTAAATGAAGTCAGAGTAAGGAGCCTTAATCCAATATAATTAGTGACCTTGAAGGAAGCAAAGGGATTTCTTAAATGCACATGCCAAGGAAAGGCCATAGGACACACTGTTGTCTAAACCCCTCCAGCTATGAATTTCATTACATCTGATAGAGCTGGCTCATACACAGCCTCTGTCCTGACTTCTACTTCACTGATCAGTTTGCCTATGTGGATCCTGGTCTCCCTCGTGGAGACTCAGCCCTTGCTGAGGAGCTGAGGAGGCAACAGAGCCATATGACATCAAACATCATCCCACTGAACTGGGACTCATGACCCTGACAGACACGGACTTGGAGCCATGTGGAGAAGTTAGATTGCTGCGGAAAAGGATAGGTGAAAGAGTAAAGCTCAGGAATTTTCCTCCTCCACAACCTATCTGTCCCAATTGAGGCCCAAAGTGGGGGTGGGGAGGTAGGCTGTATCTATCTTATGGACAGGTTTACGGGTTTTCTGTATTTTTAGACAATTTCTCACTAGCTTTCTCTTGTGGCCAGCCCTGTCAGTATGAGAGAATTGTGTGGGAAGAGGGCAGCCATAAAGATCTTTAATTAAATCTGTCCCAGAAATAAGAAAAGACTTATCTGGCCAGGAGAGAGGCTTCAAGCTACATACACAAGAGGTCTGTTATTTCTCCCATGAAGTTAAGACGGGAAGAGTTACTTTTCTTCAAAGTAGGGATCATGGGGGAATTCTAACTCTCTTTCTTTCTCCCTAATTGTATAACAGTAGAAGTGTGGTTAGCTCTGGGAGAACTTCTGGAAAGGGAAAGAAACAAACCATAAAATCCCTGATAAAATACTTTTATAGGGTTCTTTGAACACTGAGGAATAACAAAGCAGAATCCTTTCCTACAACAGAAAGAGCCCTGGGCTTAAGTTTTCCAGGATAGGCATGTGACCCAGCTGCATGATCTGGGGGTTCTTCCCCTCTGAGCTTGGGTCTCTTATTCTCTAACAGGACAGGAGATAACTTTAGTTAAATGTAAATAAACTTTTTCTGGAGCCATAGGTGGTAACAGGATTGACTAGTCAGGAGATGAGGGAAAACCGAGATTCTACATGGACCTTGGTATTTCTCTGGCTGCTATGTCCCCTTAAACAGAATCCTCTTTGAGGAGCACAAAGAAGGCACAATGCCTATGTGCCTCTGATCATATAGAATAATAGTTACCAAAACGAACTCCAGGAAATGAAAACAAGAGGTTTTTATTTTCTTGGTTGCTGTTTTTTTTTGTCTTATTTGTTCATTTATCTGTCTTTGGTAGGGTAAAGGGAGACACATAAATGGAGGGACAAAAAGTAAACAAATGCAGCAGTGGAACTCATTAGACACTATGTAGAAAATGAACTATACAACTTGTGTCTGGGGATGGAAGAGAAAAACAGGAGAGAGAGTGAAGGATGGGTTGACCTTGTCCAAAAACAAATGTGCTCTTTACCTGACTTATATAACTGTAACCCATCTGTATATCACCTTTATAGTCACAATTACTTTTTAAAAAAATTAAAGGAGCCTCCTTCACCTTACATGAACTTCATCTATTAATGTTCCTTGTTTTACTTTGTATCTGGAACATTCTTAAACATTAGGAGCACCAAAATGAACCAATCATGGATCCCACGCTGGCAGAGCTAGAAGGAGGGCTCGGGAAGTACTTGGGACATTAAGCCCAAACAGAAAGGAAGGCAGTACACAAAAATGTAGTCCCTGAACTGCATTTGTAATGGTGAACAGGAGCCACCAATGCTGGGGTAGATGAGCAATAAAGCAGAGGGAAATACAGGATAAGGTAGAATGGGGCTAAAGATAGGGTAAAATGGCAGGGGAGAGGCAGGCTACTAATCACACGACAGGCTAATCACCTAGAATTTGTCCCACTGGCAAGAATAGCTTGAGGCAAAGATGTGATGCAATCTGATACACTTTAGCAAAAAGACAGCCAGAAGAAAGAGTACATAATGACACTCCAGCCATTACCTAGAAAAGCAGCAGGATAGGAGGAGACTGGGATGGTGATGATTTTAGTTCAGGACATTGTGGACATTGTAGCTTCAGCAAGGTACCCAGAAAGGAGTTCTGGATATGACTGGATGTCTAATTATAAAAGTCAGGAGAGAGACCTCTAGGATGAAATATACAGAGCTGACAGCCATCAGCCTTAAGTGTGAACACACTGTCCCTCAGCACTGTCAGG